CTACCTACGCCCACCTACCTACGCGCCACCTGCCTATGCCCACCTACCTACGCCCACCTGCCTACGCCCACCTGCCTACGCCCACCTGCCTATACCTACCTACGCCCACCTGCCTATACCTACCTACGCCTACCTACGCCACCCTACATGCGCCCACCTACCTACCACACCTGCCTATGCCCACCTACCTACGCCATCTACCTACGCCACCTGCCTACGCCCACCTATTGTGCTGTGCTGGCGCAGCGGTAAGGTACCCGCGTTCAATCCCACGCCCGGCCAGTGAGTGGTAAACCCGGCCACACTCCTTGCACACAGGGGGAGATTTGGCAAAATAAAACAGACAGTATATAGCAGCGGAGAATATCCATTGTAACAAATGGAATTAAAACTAAATCTTAATCTAATTTAACTATGCCACACCTGCCTACGCCCACCTACCTACGCCCACCTGCCTACGCCCACCTACCTACGCCCACCTACCTACGCCCAACTACACGCCCACCTATGCCCACCTCCTACGCCCACCTACCTACGCCACTACCTATGCCCACCTGCCTACCTACGCCCACCTGCCCACGCCCACTCTGTACCCACCTGCCTCCGCCCACCTACCTACGCCCACCTGCCTACGCCCAACTACCTACGCCCACCTACTATGCCCACCTACCTACGCCCACCCTGCCTACGCCCACCTACCTACGCCCATCTAACTACGCCACCTGCCTACGCCCACCTACCTATGCCCACCTACCTATGCCCCACCTGCCTACGCCCCACTGCCTTACCTACGCCCACCTACCTACGCCCAACTACATATGCCCACCTGCCTATGCCCACACTGCCTACGCCACCTGCCTACGCCCACCTGCCTACGCCACCTGCCTACGCCCACCTACGCCTAACGCCCACCTACCTACGGCCCAACCTACCTACCTACGCCCACCTGCCTACGCCCACCTGCCTAGCCCACCTGCCTATGCCCACCTGCCTACCCCACCTGCCCATACCTACCTACGCCCACCTACCTATGCCCCCTACCTATGCCCACCTACCTACGCCCACCTGCCTATGCCCACCTACCTATGCCCACCTCTACGCTACCCACCTACCTACGCCCACCTACCTATGCCCACTACCAACGCCCACCTGCCTATGCCCACCTACCTATGCCACCTGCCTACGCCCACCTGCCTACGCCACCTACCTACCCCCCAACTACATATGCCCCCTACCTACCACCTGCCTACGCCCACCTACCTACGCCACCTACCTACCCACTGCCTACGCCCAACTACATATGCCCACCTGCCTACCACCTGCCTACGCCCACCTACTATGCCCACCTGCCTACGCCCACTTGCCTATGCCCACCTGCCTATGCCCACCTGCCTACGCCCACCTACCTATGCCCCCTACTACCTGCCTACGCCCACCTACCTACGCCACCTGCCTGCCCACCTCCTACGCCCACCTGCCTATGCCCACCTACCCTCCCACCTACCTATGCCCCACCTGCCTATGCCACCTACCTATGCCCTACCTACGCCCACTGCCTATGCCACCTGCCTACGCCACTTGCCTATGCCCACCTACCCCACCTACCTACGCCCACCTGCCTACGCCCACCTACCTATGCCCACCTGCGCCACGCCCCACCTACCTACGCCCACCTGCCTACGCCCACCTACCTACGCCCACCTGCCCCTACTGCCCACCTACCTATGCCACCTACCTACGCCCACTTAACTATGCCCACCTGCCCCGCCACGTACCACGCCTACGCCCACCCCCACGCTACTACTTACGCCCACCTACACCTACCTACGCCCACCTACCTACGCCCACCCTACCTACGCCACCTGCCTACCACTGCCTATGCCCACCTACCTATGCCACTACCTACGCCCACCTGCCTACGCCACCTGCCACGCCCACCTACGCCAACTGCCCACGCCCACCTGCCTACGCCCACCTGCCTACGCCCACCTACCTACGCCCACCTGCCCATGCCACCTACTTACATTCACCTGCCCACGCCCACCTGCCCTACACCCACCTGCCAACGCCGACATGCCTGCCCACCTGCCTACGCCCACCTGCCTACGCCCACCTACCTACGCCCACCTACCTACGCCCACCTGCCTATGCCCACCTACTTACGCCCACCTGCCCATGCCCACCTGCCTACGCCCACCTGCACCTACCTACGCCCACGCCCACGCCCACCTGCCTACGCCCACCTGCCTACGCCCACCTACCTACGCCCACCTGCCTATGCCCACCTACCTACGCCCACCTACTTACATTCACCTGCCCACCTGCTACGCCACATGCCTACGCCACCTACCTACGCGCACCTGCCTACGCCACCTACCTACGCCCACCTACCTACGCCCACCTACCTATCCCCATCCGTCCCCGCCCGACGATAACATGGTCGTTTCCAGCATTGTGCTCTATCTCAAATGGTGTCAATTGCACTCTGTTATCAGTATGA